TCTTTATCAGTTATTGGTTCTCCGCATAACTTCAGGACGGAGGTGATGCTGAAAAGTGCAGAATTGTACTCAGAGACTGATTTATAATCTTGTAGTCTTAGATGGAGCCATTCATAACGAGCCTTTGGCAGTAAGATCAACTTCTGGTGATTAAAGCGCTCTTGAATGCTTTTCCACAATTCGAGGGGATCTTCAATGGTGAGATACTCCTTTTTCAGGTCTTCGTGGAGGTGATGACGGAGGAATATCATGGCCTTTGCCTTATCTTGAACAGAAGCTTCATTTCCTTCAGAAATTGTGTCTCCTAAATTCTTTGCCGTAAGGTGAATTTTGGCATCTAAGGTCCATGTGAGGAAGTTTTTCCCGGATATGTCGAGTTCGAGAAAATCAAGTTTTGAAAGGTTTGACATTTTAACTCTACTATGCAGTGAAGAATTGATACTTAGTGTAGAGTCCAGAAACTTTTTTTCGACAGTGAAACCTTAGCCGCAAGTGGTCAGACAATTTCTCTGCTTCTTTTATGGAGGCTGGAGCTTTGGGGAATTGCAGATCTGGGCGCAGCGTGGAACGAAGAAGAACAGATGCGGAGTTCTATGATGCGCAGCGGAGAACGGCGAAAGGAACAGGAGAGGCAGACGAGAAAAAATTAGGGTTTGAGACTCGTACTGATAACGTGTTGTGAACTCGATACTTTATTCATCATATACGGGGGTATTTATACATACACGGGAAGAGGTATAGTCTAGATCAATAAGGAAACAAAATATTCTAAATAGAATGAGAAATATATCTGCCATATTTAACACATAAATCATTATTTTCTAAGAATAAATATTTTGTCTCCTACTTGATCATAGAAATCGAATTTCCAAAGTTTTATAATTTTTATTTTTGAAATTTTCATACTTATCCTTTTAGGAGTTGAATTAATTTCCAAAATTAATTCCAAATATACAAAAAAATCATATTTATCCAAAATATAGACTTTGTCTCCTACTGGAACATGTAAACTAAATTTCAATCTTGGTATGTTTTATTTTCTTAAATATATCAATTACTCCGTATTACACAAGGAAATTAAAAATAATTTCAATAAATTATTTTCGTAAATCATAAATTTAGAAAAATCTATATTTCAGAAATATACTGATTTAATTTACAATATAATAACTTTCCAGAAAATAAAATATTATATTTATATTTAATTAATAATTAACACAGTAATTCTAAGATTACCGAAATTGGATTATTAATAAATACAAAATAATTATTTTAATTTCAGGATATATTCCCAAATAATTTTATACTATCTGGAAATAATATTTCCAAATTTATAAAATTATTTATTCGAGCTTTAAATTTTAATTCTAATTAATCACTATTAATGAAGAATTAGATCTAATTAAATCCGGAAAATAGAAAACAAAATACGAAAATTTATTTTAATTTTCCAGAATGCTTAAAATCATATTTGAACATTCCAGAATAATTAAAATTATTTTTACATATTTATCTTGTATTTATTTGGTGACTAATCAAATTAACTACAAAATCAAATCAATACTCAAAATAAGGAATTTAATTTTTAAAATTTAATTTTATGTTTCCATAATTCTTAAAATCATATTTTAACTTTCTATAATCATAAAATTATTTTTCTAATTTATTAAGTATTTATTTTGTATTTTAACCAATTAAACTACAAAACTACACTTAATAGAAAAAATAGAAAAATAATCCAAAATTAATTCCAAAAATCATATTTTCGAATTATATAAAGTCCAAAATCATATTCTGACACTTTATATTATTTTGGATGATTTTAAAAATTCATACATATCTGGATTAAATTTATCAATTATAAAAAACCTTAACGATAACAAATCTACAAAATTTATAATTTCCTAAGCGGCTCCGATACCACTGTTAGATAATTATGCATGGATAACACAGCAAAAAACAAACAAATTTTTTATATCCAATCGTTGTTACCACCCACGATAGCCTTACGAAAACTATAAATTATTGTTGAGAAGAATGCCTTTTCTCGTAAAAAAACAGATCGGACGGTGTAGGTGAAGGGATTGGTGCAACGAACTAGTCACAAACGAATCCAACCTCTACCGCATCCACACGAACAACGAACACGTTCTGTGAAGAATTTATGCTCGTAAATTCTTCCTATAATATTACTTGAATACAGAAAATTATTAGGAATGATCAAGAAAAATATCAAATACGGAGTATATTTTTCCCCTTTTTGTGATTTTCGGCCAAGGATGGAGATGGATCAATTGAAAGTGGCGTACCAACTACCAATCATCATATCTCCTTCAATTCCAACTCTTTATTTCGGCCCGACTAAATTCTATAATTAGTCCTTTACAACAGGGGGTTTCCCTATTTAGTCTCACATACACACACACACACACACAGATATATATATATATATATATATATATATATATGTTTTGGTTCAAGTGAGAATACAATCTAATGAAAGAAATAAGAATGATTTGAACACCTTTAGATTTTAACGAATCCCTTTATTCCTTTAGATTCTATATAGGGTTATATCTGGGTTTTCACATCTCGATCGTATCCCTCTCACATCTTCTTCCTAGAAATTAGCGCACGATTTACGTAGTGCTTCTCCTCTCTGTTTCTTTTTCTTTTTTTGCCATGGCATTAATAGTTACTCGTTCCTGGCAGATGAATTCGAAGAAAATGCGCAGAGAATTCTATCCATTTTTTAAGGTTGAGAGAAAAAAATAAGAGGGATAAAGTGTTGGGAAATTTAGCACAAAACTTCCCACACAACGAAAGGAACAAACTAGTAGTCGATCGAAGAACAAAGAAACCGCAAGCCGAAAAAAAAACAGAGATGAGACCAAAGATTATTGAAACCGGAAAAACCCTCTTTACAGAGGTAAAACCACCACTATAAAAATAGTGCAAGTACAACTTAACCGTCAAGGATTACAACACCAATCCTAGACCCACATACAATATTTTGGTACAAAGAAAGACCCCTAAAATATTGTATGAAAAAACAAGTTGTACAACCTCTCTCATAAAAGTGCACACATGGCTAGAATTTTTTTCTTTCTTTTCTCTTGCTCGTGCCAGCCCCACCACCCATTAGCTTAACAATGACCAAGTTTTATAATGGGACAACAAGAAGCATACGGAGCATTCCAAAGAAAGACCAACAGCCACATTAAAATTCCAAGAGTAATAAACACAATATTATGCAGCAACCTTTTGGTATTTCCAATACCAAAATCAAAAATAAATGAAGGAAAACTGATGAGACAGGAAGATAAAGGGACCCGACTCTTGAGTTGGAAAAACTTTGGAAATAATCCCAACA